ACATTGAGTGGTGATGTGAGTGAGAAGCATTGACATCCACAGTGTCCCAAAAGGAAGAGAGACAAATTTGACAGAAATCCAATTTCTGTCACCAGATTTAGAGGATGAGATGAAAAGTTAGATTTATGAGGATAGATTCACTCTCTCTAGGTATTATGACTTCAGAACGGCTGCCAGGTGAAAAGTGGCACATTTTTTGGGGAATTTAGGTCCAATGGAAAGGTGTTTCCTTAGGCAGACAGTGAAACTCGATCTGTCTGTCCATATTTTTTGCCTTTGAGCACACATGTGCATGCAAGCTTTTAATTAACCAAGAATTTAACATTTATATATGTACATGTATATAGTATATATTTACGTGTATATATAGAAAAAGGATAAAACGAAGTTCAAAATTCAGCTGTGATGCCAATATCCGTAGATAACTATTGCTAACACTTTCTAGCCTTCTTTCTCTGTGTGTATATACATATTTGGAATCACTGTAACCTGCTTTGTCTTAAGGCAGCATGAATTTTTTTTTTTTTTTTTTTTTTTTTTGAGACAGAGCCTTGCTCTGTCACCAGGCTGGAGCGCAGTGGCGTAATCTCAGCTCACTGCAACCTCCACCTCCTGGGTTAAAGCGATTCTTCCGCCTCAGCCTCCCGAGTAGCTGGGACTACAGGAGCGCGCCAAACGCCCAGCTGATTTTTGTATTTTAATAGATAGGGGGTTTCACCATGTTGGCCAGTTGGTCTCGATCTCTTGACCTCGTGATCCACCCGCCTCGGCCTCTCAAAGTGCTGGGATTACAGGCTTGAGCCACTGCGCCCGGCCATGAATATTTCTTATTGCTCTAAATGTGCTTCTAAAATCTAATATTTTAAATAGCCATATAGTGTTCCGTTATTTGGATGCGGAGTAGAAAACTGATTCCCCTTTACTAGATATTCATCGTATTTCTTATATAAAAACTCCCCTGTGTGTGTAACTTTTATTCTAATCAAGCATATTTTTTTACAATTTCTAAAGCAGCCACAACAAACTTTCTACAAGGCGAATTTGAGAAGAGGGACTGCAGTCTCTTCATTTCAACCTTGTCATCTGTGTCAGTGATCATAGAACCTATTCAGATTTGCTCCACCAGAAAACTTACCCTCTTAGTTAACTTTTTGTTTATTTTCAGCCGTATTGCATCAGATGGATCATATCCGTTTTTCCTCAGGAGTGTTTCTGAAACCACTGAACAATATGGAATGGAACATGTCAGTAAGGGTGTTTTTACAGATACCTTTTTGTCACACAGGTGTTTGTTAGCCAGAGAGGTGTGGTTAATCATGTTCTCTGATGTGGTTTAGTGATCTTCATTTGTCTATCATTAGGGGAATTTCTAGCTAATCTTTCCAAAGATGAATAAACAACTTAATCGTTCACTTTCCCATCCACCATTTAACTATCTATGCATTCTCCCTCCCTCCCTCTCTCCTTCCCTCCTTCCCTCATTTCCTTCCTTCCCTCCCTCCTTTGCCCCTTCTTCCTTTCTTCCTAATTGTTTTTAAAGTTCTGGGGTACATGTGCCGAATGTGTAGGTTTGTTACATAGATGCTGTGGTGGTTTGCTGCACCTGTTATCCCATCACCTAGGTATTAAGCCCCACGTGCATTAGCTACTTATCCCTCCCTCCCGCTCCCCCTCACCCCTTCCCCCTCGCCCCTTCCCCCTCACCCCTCACTCCTCGCCCGTCGCCCCTCACCCCTCCTCCCTCCTCCCTCCTCCCTCCTCCCTTCTTTCCTTCCTTCCTTCCTTCCTTCCTTCCTTCCTTCCTTCCTTCCTTC